AAATGCGCGCGCGCACACACACACACACACACACACACACACACCTCTCACAGTACTCAAAACACACTGCCTCCCTGAAATGTTTAAGCTTGTACCATTCACAATACAAAACTAAATTTATTCAATGCAAGGTCTTTCAGAAACAGTAACAGCCTTCCAGATTCACCCTCCCTAAGAAGCCCATCTGTACCAACACAGACAACACGATGATTAGAATCTTTCTCTTCCACGCTCACCAAACGAGTGACCACTGGCTGAGCCCTCTCGGGGGAAGAAGACGTGCACAAGGCCACTGTTTTCAGAATGCCAACTGTTCAGGTGCCAGAAACATTTTTTTGAATGGGTCATTTTTTTTTTTTCAAAAGTACTGTATACCACACGGATTTTTTTAATAATATTTTTGAGTATAAAAGACATTTATTTAGAAAATTTGAGAAATTCCAAAGCATGAAAGTACATGTGAAGAAGGAAGAGCTACACTAAAACACATCCTCACGAAATTTCTGAACACTAGAGGCAAAAGTACTACAGAGTACCAAAGAGAAACCCAGGTTACACCCAAGCAAGCACCAACAAGGTATCTCAATTCTCAGCAGCAGTTACAGGAAGTGGAAAAATAATTGAGAAAAGCCCCCAAAATTATGGGGGAAATGATGTAGCCTAGAAGTCTATATCCAGAAGAACTATGAATGAAGTGTGAGTGCAGAATAAAATGTTTTCGGACATGGAAAATCTCTAAATTGTGACTTCCCTATACTCTCCCAGGTAGTTACTGAAGAAAATCCTGCAACAAAACCAACCAAAGAGTAAACTAAGGAAAAAGACAAGGACTCCAACAGTAAGGAAAGGCAAAACAAGTGCTGGGATGATAGAGAAGAATGCCCCCAGCCTTGGCCCAGAGGACAGGTAGTCCAAATTGGAGAGAAGGGAGGGCTTCAAAATGAGCTCACCAAAAAAATCACAACACCGGGAACAGCTCAGGTATCAGAAAATGCTCAGAGATCCCAACCCCTGGGGGGAGGCTGGAGGTTTAACTAATGATAATGGTCAGACACCAGACAAATCCAGTATGAATGCCAGGGAGATAAGTGGGAGCTAAACAATGGGTACATAGGGTCCCCGGTCTCCCGCCTCCAAAAGAAAAGGCTGCCTATGGGAAGGAATTACTTTGTTATTAAATGTGGTACATAAATGTTTGCATATCTGACTACTGCCTTAGGGTACATTCCTAGAAGTGGGTCAAAAGGATTCATTTTTAAGCATCTTTCTAATATATTGCCAAACTGTCCTGCAAAGAAGTTTTCCCCCTTTACCCTTCTTCCAGCCATGCATCTTTTAAAAATATGCACTGATGTAGTATCTAAACTACCTCTTACATACGGTGTACTACAAAAACCTGAATTCCTTCTTGACAATTTTAGATCATCATTGCAAATATTAGTTACAGGCCTCTGACCGTAGGCAGGACCAGAACGGAGGCCTGAATGTGTGGGCTGAGTGCCTGAGCCTGGCCTGCTCACATCTGTGCCCGACTGTGGGCTTGGGGCTCCAATCCTCCAATAACACAGTCCCCGGATATATTTACTCATTAAACAAATGCCAACCGTGAAGTTAAACAACTTCCCTAGGGGTGACACAGCCAGGAGTTAAGCCACATCTAGCGAACTCCATAGTTCAAAGCTCGAATTCAAAAAAAGTCCACTCTGGCTGCATGTGTATGCAGCCTACCACACTTGTTCAGGATAAAATGAATGACACTTTCTCCATTTCCAGGTTCTGAGTAATAGAATCCTTTAGCAAAAGACATCACATCTCATCACAAGGTTCTCTGAACCCTCTCTATGTCACACTTGGAAGAGGGTTAAGTAATAAGCAGTCTGAGGATTGCAAAAGTTGTCTCTGGAAGCCAAATTCCACATGTACAGCACCTATACCACAGATCAACTTTGTCTGCAAATCTGGTGGTAAGAGAACCCGAAGGTAGATCAAGAAAGCAGCAGGAATGAAAAAAAGCCTTCTCTTTTAAATTTTTTACAGTGATGACTTTGGCTTGCTCATCAGATAAAGGGAAAGGCTTACTGAAAAGAGAGATTAAAAATTTCATGACATGAAACACTGAGAGGATCCCAGAAAAAGATGGGCACACAGCTATGGCCCAGACTGAGGTCAGGAGGCCAACAGTACTTGTGCAACATCAGCAAGGCCTTCACATAAAAATCGTTATTTCTAGCTTCTCCTAAAAGACTGGAAGATGTGGTGGCACCGCTAGGCCAGTGGTCTGGCAGCTCTCAGTGGACTCCACTTTAAACAAGGCAGGCCCTTTGTGCAGCCACAGTGGCTGCTGCCTGCCTCAGCCTCTGGACTGGAGGAATAATTTGAGAACGGTCTTGGAAAAGAGGCAAGAAAAGCCTCATCTCCCCGTGAGAAAGGAGAGATGTGCAAGAAGATGGGTGACGTCTGTTCTGTAGGGTGGCCCACCGAGGCCAGACCTCCGGACACTAGCCCTCCTCTGCAGGAAGTGCTGCACACTTTTGGCAAGAACAGCTTTGTCAGCCTCAAATAAACCTGAGACTCTTTTTGTAAAATAATAAAAGAGTTGGAAGTTGTTAGTACATTCTCACATTAATTTGTGTTCCATGAAGAAAAGGAGTAAATGTGGGATACCTTTGAAAATTCTAGAACAGTACCTTATTTTACAGTGGTCTATAGCATGATCATATGAAACATTAACACTTACGCAAAAGATGAGCTTCAATCCATTCCTAATACCATACACAAAAACTGACCCGAAATGGGTCATGATGTAAACATAAAACCTTTTAAAACTGTAAAACATCAAGAAGAAAAAAGGAGAAAATCTTGGAAAAGGTAGGTTAGATAGATTTCTTAACAAAATGATAAAATGAGCATCATCAAATTTAAAAAATTGCTGCTCTTTGAAAGATACCATTAAAAAAATGAAAAAGTCATACAGTGGGAGAAAATATCTGCAAATCTTACCCAATAAAGAACTCTCAAAGCTCAACAATAAGACAACAAACTCGGTAAGTTACATACAGTAAAAGATGTATACAAACTTTTTACCAAAGACATACAGGTGGCAAGTAAGCACATAAAAAGCAGCTCGATATTATTAGTTGTTACAAAAGTTTAAATTAAAACTACAACGACATATCACTATACATCCACTAGAACTGCTAAAATTAAAAAGACTGACTATACCAAGTATTGTCAAGGATGTGGAGGAATTAGAACTCCCATACACTGCTGGGAAGGTAAAATGGTACAATCATGTTGAAAGACAGTTTCTCATAGTTAAATATATACCTACCATAATAACTCCACTCCTTTGCATTTACTCGAGAGAAATAAAAGCACATGTCCACACAAAAACTTGTACATGAATATTCAGACGTTTTACTTGTAATAGCCAAAAATTGCAAATAGCCCAAATGTTCATCACCTAGTGAACGGATAAGCAAATTATGGTATTTTCATACAATGGAATGCTACCTAAAATAAAAAGGAATGAACTATTATTGATACACACTACAACATGATGTCAAAATAATGCCAAATGAAAGACAGTCCAAAAAAATAAAAAGTACATTCTATGATTCCATTTAACAAAATTACAGTAAATACAAATTCATCAATAGTAAAAGAAAGCAAATCAGTGATTTCCTGCAGCCCAGGAGAAATGTGAAATGCGCAGGAGAAAACTTTTGCCAATGACAAATACTTTCATCCCTGAATGTGGTGACAGTTACACCACAGAAAGTTATCAAACTGTATACTTTAAATATGTGCAGTTTATTATGTCACGTGTACCTGAAGAGAACTGTTTAAAAAAAAAGTGAAACAATCTGAGATGTTTTACAAAAGGAGAAAGGTGGTGTCATTTTAGCCATTAAAGAATCCAGTGAGTGACAGCATGTAACTACTGACCCCAGGGAAGGGATGTTCCATAAGAGACTTAAAAGACAGGCGCAAAGCAGCAGGGGCATCTAGCCCAGTGGGAGAGAAAAGTGTGAGAAAACTCAAGGAACACAAAAGAAAAGTCACTCTGAGGAGAATAAACAGGCCAATGTGGCAAAGAGCTAGGAATTTAAAGTGGAGACTCTTGGCTTAACCGTGTCTTTACAGTCACAGGAAACCATTAAGAAAAACTTCATCTGGGAACATCACTCTGGTTTAAACGGGAAGGAGCATTAGCCTGGGGAAAGATGCCTGAGAGCAGGAAGACCACGGCCCAAAGGTTCTTCTCTGGGTATGGGCTAAGGGCTAAACACAGGTGGTCACATTGGAAACGGAAAGAAAGAGATGGATGTAAGTTTAGAATAATAAGGCAGAATTTTATGATTAACAAAATAGGAAGAATTTGGGAAAGGACCTTTACCATCTCCTCTTTTGTCAAAGTGAACAGTGTGAGGCTAGTGCTGAGGGACAAAGAACTGCACCAGCAGACCCATGAGTAAGGCCTCGAGGCCAAGTTGAGCCCTCAGGTCACAGCATGGGCCACCACTTTCAGTTTTAACAGTGATTTCCAACATCTTAAAATATTCTTATGGACCTCACATGGAAAGTAAGACTTTCTTTTAAAAGTATAATCAAAGTGCTAATGCACTGTATAGAAAAATCAGAAATTATTTCTAAAAACATTAGCAACATATAAATTCCACCTCTTAGCATGGCAAGGTAGTCTTCAGTTTCTAGAAGGCAACATTATTTCATGAACAGATGTTCTGGCACAAGGAGTTGCCTGTGACAACCTAGTGATTAGAATAAAGATTCATGCTGTGGGAGGACGCAAGAAACATGGTATCTAAAGCTTTATCTGCAATAAGAATTAAGCTGGTTACTTATCAACAGCCTAATTAAATGAACTGAGAGTTAACTCAACCCCAAGTCCTACTTCTATACTCACTCTTCTCAAAATCCACCCCCTTTACCTTCTCCCCCAACTGCATAGACAAAGCACTTTATCACCCAACACGTACCTGTCTGGAAGGTAGGATTCGCTCCAGGGTACATGTTAGGAGAATAGGCAGGAGCTGCTGCTGCATAGCCCATGGGGAAACCAGCTGAAGAAAAACACAGAACAATGTGATGTCATCAACTGAAGAAGTGATGCTGAATTGCCAGAGCTCCCCAGACTTGTTCTTACCTTCTTGACCAGAACTCCACAGGCTGACTTAAGGAGCCCCAACAGTTTGTCTCTAGTTGTCTTCTCGCCTCAGAATTTTGACGGGTTACAATCATGATCATATCTTTTAAACCTGTGAGTAAATGCTTACAACTTTCTATAACTAGAAAAATTGGGCAGAAACTGAGAAGTCTATTGTCATGAACAGCAAAATCATCATCATGATGCCAAAAAAAAAAACCAAGCTGGAACCAGAAAATCCCGAAAACTTCTGGCAATTTTATTCCAGACTCTAATCACGATTTGTTACTTAGCAAGAGTGGTAAGAGGGCTAAGAGTATCGTGTGCTAGGTCCTGTTACTCTCATCTGGTCTCACTGCCAAAGTCTGGAAGAACCAAAATTCAAATCTAACTTGGACTCAAGGTCCTGTTTTTCCTGCTACAGTGAGCAGCAAAAGGTGTTTTAAGGTCACTCATCCTCACTGAATCCAAAGATATATCCTACATTATTACGTATTTTCAATTAAAAGTTATTATTTTTTGCACTAAGGCACTGTTTAAAACTTCTAAATGCATCTCAGGTTTCTTCATATTCTGAAGTTCTAATTCCCAATTTTTCCAATTCAGGGTAACCAGATGATACATGGTTTGAAATGTCCCCTCCAAAGCTCATGTTGAATTTAACTACCATCGTAACAGTGTTGAGAAGTGGAATCTTGAAGAGGCGAGTAGGTCATGAGGGCTCTGACTTCATAAATGGATTAATGCAATTATTGAAGGAATTATTACAATAATTATAAACCGCAATTATTACTGTAGGTTAGTTATCTTGGGAATGGGTTCCTGGTACAAAGGAGAAGCTGAGCCCCCTTTTTCCTCTGACGTACTGGTACTCGCCTGGCAGCATTCTGCTGTGGGACGATGCAGCAGGAAAGCCCTCGCCAGATGTCAGCACCATACTCCTGGACTTCCCAGCCTCCAGAACCATGCACCAAATAAATTTCTATTCATTATAAATTACCTAGTCTGTGGTGTTGTTACAGTAGCAGAAAACGACTAAGACACCAATCATAAACCCAGGCTGTAAATGCCATAAGCTTCAGTGTTCTTACAGAAGGGGCTCTAACGGACACTGAAGACACGTGGAAATAGGGAAAACAGTTACGATCCACATGAAGGCAAGCTGATCTTTATTAACATAAATGAAGACTCTTAGTAAGACTAAACCATAACCACTAACAATGCATAACGTGAACTCAACAGAAACATCAAACAAGACATTCAGTGTTACAGGCAGGATCCTGGCCCCCAGGTGTCCATCAGCAGAAGGGCTTCAGTGGCCTGCCCTGGCCTTCCACAGGGCCCAGAAACCCATGAGACCCCTACTCCACTTCCGTCTGACCCCCCATTCACAGTACAGAAGGTGTAACTCATGTGACAGCTGGGGCATTAGAATGCCTTCCTTTTTTGTTTGTTTTTGAGACAGTCTCACTCAGCTGCCCTGGGGAGAGTGTAATTGCATCGTCGTAGCTCACTGTAGCCTTGAACTCCTGGGCTCAAGCGATCCTCCTGCCTCAGCCTCCCGAGGAGCTGGGACTTCCGGTGTGTGCCACGGTGCCCAGCTGATTTTTCTATTTTTGTAGTAGACATGAGGTCTCACTCTTGCTCAAGCTGGTCTCAAACACCAGAACTCAAGCAATCAGCCCACCTTGGCCTCCCACAGTGCTAGGATTACAGGCGTGAGCCACCACACCTGGCCTAGAATGCCTTCTTTATATTTAGGGAACAGAGATAACGAGATGACCCAGGTTTGCTAGCCCTGACTATCATCCCGACTAGTTGTGAGAAGCTCTAACTTTTCTATTTCTCTCCTCTCACCTGGTTAAAAATAAAGTTGAAGGAATAGAGCAGCTTTCGAAAGAAATTGTGTGGAGGCGGCCCAGAGAAAAGTGTCCTTAGGGCACTTGGACCAAGTTACTGAAGGTGGTATCATGATCCCTTAAGTGACCAAAGCGAGGAAACCCTAAGGGTGAAGTGAAAACTCAGGGCAGCGGGCTCTTAGTAGAACTCCAATGGGAAAATCCTTGTAAGTGGGTTTTATTTAAAGGTTCTCAATAAAGCTCACTGCGTGAATCCATTCCTGCAGTGCCCTCAGCCTGGACGCCCTTGACCTGCTACCCAGCCTCCCAACTGGCCTGCAGGATTCCATGGGAACAGGAATCTTCAGCCCCACTGGCCACCAGGAATTCCTGTGTGTGCCCAGTTCTCATCTATTGTCCTTGCTTCAAAGTTGCTTTCCTCAGTCTGGAAACAGACCCTCCTCTACCTCAGCAGAAGCTATTTTGGGTTTCCCTCCTGGATTCTCACTTTCCCATTCACCCTCTCTAATTAGTCAGTCAGTGGCGGTCAAATATTTTATCAAGTTCACTCATTCCAGTATCAAGGGCAGATTCCACCTGAAACAGACTAAAATGGCCAGTGGAAAGCCACAGTGTTCTACAGACCCAAGAAAGTCCTCAGAGGCCTGCCTGCAAGCAGAAGGCGGCCAGGCAGGCTGCGCAGCTGCCCTCCGTCCCCCATAGCTGCTGCCCTGACACAGCTTAGATACCAGGAAACCAGTAAGAATTTTTTTTCAATGGTTTCACTGTTTAAAAAAAGTTTGAGGCCAGGCACGGTGGCTCACGCCTGTAATCCTAGCTCTCTGGGAGGCCGAGGTGGGCAATTTGAGCTCAGGAGTTCGATTTCAGCCTGAGCAAGAGCGAGACCCCGTCTCTACTAAAATTAGAAAGAAATTAATTGGACAACTAAAAATATACAGAAAAAATTAGCCGGGCATGGTGGCGCATGCCTGTAGTCCCAGCTACTCGGGAGGCTGAGGCAGGAGGATCGCTTGAGCCCACGAGTTTGAGGTTGCTGTGAGCTAGGCTGACGCCACGGCACTCACTCTAGCCAGGGCAACAGAGTGAGACTGTGTCCCAAAAAAAAAAAAAAAAAGTTTGAAGCACCGCTGACCAAGATCATATCCTATAGGCCTCTACAATAATTTCCATAAAATCCAAATTTCTCATCTCTCCCCATAAACTCTACCAGTAAATTCTCATAGGAAATGTCTGCTCTGAATTTGTTTGCTAGCGCTTATGTTTAAGAGTCCCTGAAAAATTTGTGTTATGCCTGCTTAGCCCTTCCTATCTCAACTTTCTAACAGTGAGTTAGCATATTCTAAGATGAAACAGAAAACACACACGGCATGTATTTAAAATAGCATACTTATCCACCAGCAACAAGATGTCACTACATACCCGGTCTCTGGTACGGCAGTCAGTCACCCCATCTCCTGGGAAACCTTTGCTCCTCCCCACCCTCCTCCCATCATCCACACCCCAACCTCTCTGCCGCCACCCTGACCCAAGCCATGGTGGGGCTTGCCTCACTATCTCTACTCATACCTGAGCTGCACAAAACTCACAGGGCCAGCTTTGACAGGTTCAGCTCCAGCTTGCCTTGGGTGTAGGACCAGTTTCTTTTTTTTTCTTATTCTCTACAGACAGCTAATCTGCAGGGTTCCAGGCAACAGGGTTAAAAACCATTGTTTCTTGCTGTTCCTGTGATAGTTCTGGCCACATTCATCCCCAGGGGACACTGAGATTGTCAGCATCCAGTCTAGCTAGCTCCCTTCTAGCATGGGGAGACTGGAAAGGCCAGACTCGCCTAAGCAAGCGACCGAAGTGATCCTAAATCCTAGTCATTGTTATAAGACTGATCACTTTATGAAAACAAAGACTTCAGAACAACAAAAAATGCCATAAGAAAGTTAAAAAGACAAATTCAGAGAAAATATTTGCAAATTATTTAAAGGGCTAATACACTTAATATATAAATAACTTAAAACTAGAAGAATGAAAACCCAACAGAAAAAAATATCTATGGACATGGACAGATAGAACTGCAAACCGTGATAATACCATTTCTCACAGACTGACAAAAGTCCAAAAGCTGGATGACACATTTTGTTAGCAAGGTTTAGGGAAACAGTTTCATAAACTTCTAGTAGGAATACAAAACAGGGAAAACGCCATGGAACTCGGCAGTATCTTAACAATCGCATACGCATTTGCTCTCTGACCCAGCAATCCCACCTCTAGGAATCCACCCTGAAGATAATTCCCACAAACACAATCAACATAAGCAAAAGGTTGTTTGCAGCAGCATGACTGGAATAGCAAACACTTCAAACAGCTACAACACCCATCACAAGCAAACTAGTTGAAGCAACTATGGAAACCTCACAAGATGAAGGGTTATACAGCAGTATTATGTAAACAAATAAACAATAACACCTCCATGAACTGCTATGGAATGATTCCTAGTATACATTAAGTTGACAAAGCAAGTGAACACCGCCTGCATCTCTTTTCCAGAAAGAACCTGCTGTTCAGCCACAAGGAGTGCAAGGGCTGGGCAGCCTCCAGCAGCACCTGCCTTCCAGGGCGTCTGTGCCTAATGCAGGTCTCCTCCCACTGCCAGTCCCTGCTGCAGAGTATCCCATGGGGGCTGGCTGAGACTTCAGCAGTCTGAGGCTCTCCCTCCCCAATTCTGCTTCCAGTCCCTCCTCCCACCCACCCCCAATTTTTCCCTCTCAAAAAATGTTTGCATTCCTAGTCCCATCCCCGTGTCCACTACTATTTGTGTAACGAAGGAGAAATTAGAATACATGGACTTGTTGACCTGGGGGCACTCGTCAAGTCTCAGCGTGGGTAAATGGCCAGGCCTCTTCCCTGAACAGAAGTCCATGGCTGGAGGACAGAGAAACACACATGGGTTTTGGTGGTAAGATGGTAGATATAAATCCAATTTTATCAGTAATTACATTACTATTAGGTCATTAAATATAAAATGTCCAATTTTGAATCAATAGTTTATTATATTTCAAACAAGAAGCAGTATAATGAATCAAAGTATGCGCCTACACTATTGACAGAGTTTTGCCATCTTAATGGTAGCTGGTTTATGCCAGCAGCAAAGAATCCTGGAGAGCAAGTGAGTGGCAATGAAATCACAAATTGCGTTTTCCACAGCTTGTTGAGAATGGAATGTTCTTCCTTGCAAGACGTGGTCCAAAGCCTGGAAGAAGTGGTTGTCAGTTGGTGCAAGGTCTGGTAAATATGGTGGATGACAGAATGTCCAAGTCCGGCCTCTGTAGTTTGAACAGCATTGTTTGCATGACATGTGGTCGAGTGTTGTCTTGCAAGAGGATTGGCGTGTCTCTGTTAACCAATCTTGGCTGCTCCACTGCAAGCATCTTCATCATCTCATCCAACTTGCTGCAGTAGACATCTGTTGTAATCGACTGACGAGGTTTCATGAAGCTGTAGTGGATAAATATAATACCAGCGCTGGACCACCACATAGATTGTCAAAAAGAATCTATTTTTCATCACCCGTAACAATACGGTATAAAAATGGTTCACCTTTATGTTGTGACGGCAAAGAAACGCAAGCTTCAACAGGATTTCCTTTCTGACACTTGTTTAATTCATGCAGAACCCGTCTATCCAGCTTCTTTACCTTGCTGATTTGTTTCAAATGGTCCAATACTGTTGGAATAGTAACCTCGAACCTTGCTGCTAATTCATGCATAGACTGAGACGGATTCACTTCACTACAGCTTTCAGCCCATCATTACCTTGGTGTCAGGTCGCCCATGTGGATCATTTTCAAGATTAAAATCAACAGAACTTCTGGAACCACTGACGTACTATGTGTTCATTAGCCACATCCTTCCCACTTTGCTGAAACTTCGAGCCGTCTGCATAGCATTTGAGCACAACGTAACTCACAGTCAAAAATAACACAAATTTTTGACATATCCATGGTTTCATAAAAATTGCTCTAAAAAAGATTTGAAAGCAAAAACCATGCGTTTGAAAGAATAAGGGTGTACCTTCACAACAAAAATAAAACAAGTGTCAAAGTCAAAATGTCATAGATATCGACTGTCAAACTTAGTACTTAAGGAAGTCAGACATTTCGTACTTCATGACCTAGTACAATTAAAAAGACAAAGCATTTTTAGGAAGAGTTCCCTCTTTTCCACTAAATGTAAATAAAAAGTTACAGACCAGCCTCCCCATTGGCCAGTAAGAATATATAAATAAAATGGCATAAAAGTACTTTCCTTTCTCATGTCTTCTCAGCTTTTGGTACTGAAGTTATACTGGCCTCAAAATTCTGTAGGCACATAGTCCCGTATGTTTAACTCCCTGGTTTAAATGGCCTGGAGGGATTACTAGTTCCTGCATTGAGCCCTCACTGATACGCAGTTTTAGAAAAGTCAGGGAGATTAAAAACATCAAGACCAAGAAAACAGGCAAAATAAGTATAAATAAATAAAGTAAGGGCCGGGTGCGGTGGCTCACGCCTGTAATCCTAGCTCTCTGGGAGGCCGAGGCGGGCGGATTGTTTGAGCTCAGGAGTTCGAAACCAGCCTGAGCAAGAGCGAGACCCCGTCTCTACTAAAAATAGAAAGAAATTAATTGGACAACTAAAAATACATAGAAAAAATTAGCCGGGCATGGTGGTGCATGTCTGTAGTCCCAGCTACTCGGGAGGCTGAGGCAGGAGGATCGCTTGAGCCCAGGAGTTTGAGGTTGCTGTGAGCTAGGATGACGCCACAGCACTCTAGCCTGGGCAACACAGTGAGACTCTGTCTCAAAAAAAAAAAAAAAAAAAAGAAATAAAGTAAGGGGAACTATATAAAAGTATACAAAATTTAAAATTGTTTTGAAGTTACAGAAATTTTCTTTTGAATATAATTTTTGGACCAAAAAAAAAAGCCTAATAAAGTGTTTTACTCCAATCCTCTTGACCAGGCAAATGACAGCCCACTGCCTGTTTTCAGTCTTATGTGAACACGCCACCCTTACTTACTCAGTATTGTCTAGGGTTGCTTTTATGCCCCAAAAGCAGAGCTGAATAGCTGTGGCGGATGGTATGATCCACAAAGCCTAAAACATTTACTAACTAGGCCTTTAGTTTGCCAATCCCAAAGAACAGGAAAAAAATACACATACCTCAGCATCCTCACGACTTTGCACAGAACTGGTTAGTTTATGAGGTGCAATCAATGTTCTATTATACTGACTAAGATGATCACATCATGCTACTATCATAGGGTTTTGGCTATTTCCCTGGCTCCAGATCCACTCAGGATCCTCATTAGCTATTTAACATTCTATTTAAACTAGTATTGCTACTTTAAAAACAGTAGGTCCCATCACTAAATTCTCTTCATCAAGTCTGGAAAATTCTGTCACTCCCTTTCTTCCAGTCTCTCTAACCCATCCTTTTGGAGCTCTTAATTTTCAAGCATCTTAACCTGTCTCCTATTCTCCCCTACTCTTTATGTTGTATTCTTGCTCTCTCTTAAGCAGTGTTCTATCTGCAATTAACCTGGATTTTGTTCAAATGCCATTTTTTCCATTTAAGTTCCAGTTGGTTCTTTTTATCCCCAGCATCTTGTTACTCATTCGTGCTGATTTTTTCTTTATCATCGGCAATTATTCTAAACTTGTTTTTGTGACATGGTTTCTACGTGAGGGTTCCATTCCTGTCTGTCCTGGCTGGCAACTCTGACTTGATGGATAGCGTCCTGTGTGTTATAATTTGCACATTAGCAGGCATCACTCTGCCCGTGGGAAGCCCACACGAGCTGAGCTGAGAACTTGTGCCTCCACAGCAGCTCAGATGCTCCAGGATAATGCAGCCTGCAGCATAGTTTTTACATTAGTTTCTCAACTTCTGGACCCCCTGGGAAGTACAAGTAATGTAAACTAGAGCCCCAAACATCCCTGAACGGTTACAAATTCTTAGAAAAGATTTCCCCCTCCCCAGAACCCAAGCAGACATAAGCTTCCTTGTGAGGCCAGTGAACGAATGGACTGTTTAGTCTACCTCTTTGCTGGAGTATCACCTTCTAGAGGGACCAGACTGACTGATGAGAGGTCCCATTCCCTGTCTCACAAGACACTAAGCCTCACTTTGTATCCCCACATGGGTTGTTAAAACCCACAAATAAACTTGGCACGGTGTCACACACCTATAATCCCAGTTACTCAGGAGGCTGAGGCAGGAGGATCACTTGAGTCCCAGAGTTCAAGACCAGCCTGGCCAATACAGAGAGACTCCAAGTCAAAAGAAACAAACAAACAAACAAAAAACAAAAAATCAACAGCAAATGTCCCCAGGACAGGTACAACATTAGCTCAATGGTCAAGTAAGTTGGATTTTACATCATTTTCATATTTGGCCCCAGGTATTTCTCTTACCTTCTACAACTCAGTTATACATTTGTAAAATGTTTTATTCCATTTTCTAAGGGTTTTGTAGTAACAGGTTGTAGGGTTATCTCTTCCACCACATTATCAAAAGCCAAAATGAAATTATAACATACTACAAATAACTGCTTCTGTTCAAAGTCACCAGTTAGGACAACCATTTGCTATTTTTGACCAACCAGCTCCTATGCCCCCAATTTTTGCCTTACTTCCTCCCTCCCTCACAGCCCATGTTTGACTAGCTGACTCCACTAAGCGTGAGGAAGACGGTTCAGGCCTAAGTCAGTGAGTAGAATCCCCTCCATGGCCCAGAGATGGAAGCTGAGTTCAATCAGAATAAACCCCAAGACTGGTTTGGATAGGGAACAAGAAGCCCCACTGGGCTTTTCTGTAGGGCAGAGATAAACAGGCTCCTAGAGGGGGACTCCTGACAGGGGCTGAACCTCACAGAGACCGTAATGGGGAGGAATGGGACCTGTGGCCAACACTGAGCCAATACTGAGGAAGTGAAGCTGAGAACAGGAGGTAGAGAAACTAGATCCTGGACCCAACTGCTGGAGCCATCAGATCAAGCTTTGACCTAATACAGTCCTATCTCTTGATTTTTCAGTTCCACATACTTTCTTTTTTGTCTAAGCCACTGGGTTTGTCAATCGAAAGCATTCTTAATGACAGTGAAATACCAAGTGTCCAAAGTTCAATAATGAAAACAAAATTTTACTTGCTCACCTGGATAACCAATTCCTTTGGCATTTGCATAGGGAACCCCGGAAGATCCAGGGCTATAAACAGGATTCATGATTTCAAGAACTAAAAGACAAAAAAAAAGTGATTTAGCCAAGCCCTTTTGTCCTCAGATTTTTCTCCAGCATCAGTCCTAAAACAGCCAGAAGCAAGAGTCCTTTCTCTCTCCTACTGTAAAACAATGCATTTCATGCCGCTCCCAACCAGCACAGAACAGAAAAGGAATGCCCAGTGTCCGGACAGCTGCTCAAACAGAACTTTGTAAACTCTCCCTTACAGCCTGTCAGAAGCTAAGGGGGACAAGTGCTCCTCATAGCCCTACTTAAAACAAGGGAAAAATTCTACAAATAACCTAAATATTCTTGTAACAGAAAAAAATCGTTAAGTAAACCAAGACATATCCAGAGCATGAATTGCCATGCCAGATGCTTTTTAAAACATACTTAAAAACACAGAAATGATACTACGTTGAGTGAAAAAAAGTAGGGTACTGCACTGCATTACCCAGCACGATCCCAAAGTCACACCTAGGCGTATAGGCACGTGCACCTCTGGCACTAACAGAAAAAAGTCTGGAAGGGAACACATTAAACTATGAACAATGCTTGTTTCTAGATGGAGCAGGTTTTGTGTTCCTTTTGTACTTCCCTGTATTTCTTAACTTCCATTAAATATATTTTTTTTCCTAAAAAGGACGAATTAGCTACAGTCCAGCAACTCTATTAACCCACTCAATGCTCTATCATTCCCAAGTCTTTTTTTCCCTGAAAAGTTCAAGAATTTGTACAGCTACAATAATGATTCTACCCCTTTCCCAACACAAATAAGATTCTTGTTAGTGTCTCCAGAAAGCTCTCCAGAATTACTGTCCGATGTGTTCCTGAAGTGTGAGCTCTCACTGCTCCTCATCTGGCAAGTCACTCACTGACTTATACAGCTGCAAAACTTAGGGCAATCTTTAATTTAAAATAACAGCAGGCCAGGTGTGGTGGCTCACACCTGCAATCCCAGCACTCTGGGAGGCCGAGGCGGGCGGATTGTTTGAGCTCAGGAGTTCGAGACCAGCCTGAGCAAGAGCGAGACCCTGTCTCTACT